TCTTCAGTAGTTAGGGACTGTGTTAAGTGCAGGCTAATAAGGAAAAGTGAAAAAGCTAAAGAAAGGCTATTTGAGATAGAACCCAGGTGGTTGTCATAATTAAAATATTTTTCCTGTACGTTTCTTGCTATTCACTTTTGCAGGAATATATTCTATTACCATGTAAGTGTTTCTTAACTTGGTTCTTAAAAACCTTTATTAAAAACACTTTGGATGTTTGTTATAATGCAGATTCCTGGGCTCTTCCCCAGAGTTACTGAATAAGGATCTCTCAGGCTTTCACTAAGAAACCTGAATGTTAAATAAGCTTTCTGTGGATACTGACATTGAGGAAGAAATGCCATCTATGATGCCATTGTTGCAGAACTTGACAATTCCTGTCTGTCTCCCTGCCCTCCTGTGGCCCATTTCAGCATTACACATACTGTGGATACAGAGACAGTGAGTGCCCTCAAATCCAAAGGCTGCTCAGAGTGGCAGGCCTGCCTTCAGGACTTCTCTCCTCACCTAACAGGGAAGGAAGGATGGAGTGGCCTGGTCTAAGTAATAGTTGGTTTAACTTCAAGAGTCTGTATTTTTAGGCTAAAAGTGCAAATTAAGTATTGTTTTGTTAATAGAGAATTCCACATTTTTCATCAATGAGTATGGATTTTATTTAAAGTCAGGAAAAATAGTTAACTTAGTAAAAGCATGCAAAACAACAGGAGACATAATTATTGACTTCCTAGGCTCTCCTGAATTGCTTCCTCCCTCAATAAGGCCAAACCTAGAGCATTCCCTGACCCAGTCAGGCTCCCTGACCAAGCAGCAGCTCCTTAGAGTAAAGGTGAGGGCCACAGAAGGCCTAGGAACTGTCCTGCTTTGCCTGCACAGCCTACTCATTGGTAGAGACAGGAACTTCTGAGAAGCAGGGCATGTGGCAAGGAAACCAGGTAGGGCGAGAAGCCTCTTGAAGGGAGCAATGTGGCACTGACATGCCTGGCCCCACTGTCCACACTCTTTAGAGCATGGCAAAACAGTATATGAATATGTTGTTCTCATACCCAATATGAAAGTGGATAGAGGAAGACAGAATCCAGACCTGAGAACTGTATTAAACTAAGGATCTCTGCGTTTTTCCCCAAACAAGAGCACCATGCAGAGCAAAAAGGAATGAAAGAGGCAACATACTTTTCATGCTCAAATTGGTGAGGAATTCTCAGAAATCCATTTTGAGGAGAGATTCAAAATAGAGTAGTAATCATTATCTTTGAGGTTGGATTCCTGAAAGACAATGAGTAGCACACAACTTCTGATTATCCTGCTTACCGAGGACACAGGTGCTGGCAGGGAGCAAAGGAGGTTGACACACGTGGGGACTTCAGGGTGCCAATGCTACTGCCTTCTCAGTTTTCTGGAAAGCAGCACACATATTACCCTGAGAGCTGAGCAGAAATTCCAGCAAACACCTGCCCATCCTGAAGCAGGTCTGCCTTCTGATTACATCTGCAGCAATGCTTGGACATCTGGAATGGCTCAGAGCATTCCTGCCTGTCCATTCTCACCTGGTAACAGAACCCTTATACATAAAGTGCACAAGGCCCTTTGAAATCTCCAGGAAGACTACCTATCTTTATGCCAAAAGATGAAATAGAGGAAAGTGCAGAATACTGCCAGAAACTGAGCCCCAGGAACTCCAATAAAATGTCCAATTTTACACTAAACTATGTTTCTCTATGTGCATATCAAAATCTACATAAAAAAAGCTAGCAATAATTACTCTAAAATGCCAATAATGGCTATCCCAAGTGATTTTAATTTTCTTTACACTTTTCTGTACTTTCCAACTTTTTCATCATGAAAGTGATCTTTTCATAATCCTTTTATAAAATGTTACTTTCAAAGATAATTCAGGCTATGATTTGTCCAGAGATCAACATGGCACACAATGGACAGATAAGGCCATTTATGTAGTGCAATGTCTAAAACTAGATAGAAAAACTGGTGCAGAGATAGAAACTTCACGTTCACTTCTCCACAGCACCTTTGTTGCTATTTATCTGTAAAATTCCCAGGCCTCTGCCTAAAGACTTCTCGGAGACCTGTTGGGTGAATGACAGAATTCCCAGCTCTCCTGCCTAGCCTTAGTTCATTTACGTATCAATAGGTGTTCCCCATGGCAGAGCCTCATGGATGGTCTGGGGCTGGGAATGGAGGAAAAGTGGCCATTCCTGCCTCCTGTCCATCCTTGGCATGTGACTGGCCTGGTGCTTGGCAGTCACCAAGGACCTGCCCAGGGAGTCCCTGCGGGAAGTGGAGCCTGAGCAGCAGCGGGCATGGCTGGAGCACTGCCTGGGGAACGAGCCCCAGTGGCCGCAGGAAATAAAGTCTTTTCTCCCAACCTGAGCTTTTCCCTTGACTTACTTCAGCTTCAGTGGATTCTTTGGTGACTCACGCCGGGCTGGGAACACCCTCCTCCTGCAGTTATAAGACCTTCAGATTGTATATATATATATATTTAAAGTTCTTAACTTTAAATCACAACTTCTATACTATCAAAGCTTTTCACCTGGGATGCCAAAAAAAGGCCCAATGATAAAAGCAAATTTTCATGTGTTAATTTGTTTTCTTTTCTCTTTTGATGCAGATATTAACAGGTAATGAAAAAGTAGTCAAGAATTACTTGTAAAATTATTTCTGAACAATTGAGAAGTTGAATATATGTTTTTTATATTATGGAAATGATGTATCAGTAGGTTTCTTAAAATCAAATTACACATGAGTAATATAACTACTTCACAATTTCCTTCTATAGAATAGTATACAGGCCCCTTATTAAAGATGATTCATCTGCTTCACCTTTCCCCATTGAACAGTGTATGATTTCAAATACATCTGGGGTTGTGGAAATGTCACTGTCCAATCCTATTTATCAGGTGGTAACAGATAAACTCTATACATTTTTTTTGCTTCTTCTTTTCTACATATTTTCACCATGTAATTCAACCACACAATATATACATAAAACTGTAATCTGATGAAGTTCAACTCATCTGTCAGGATCAATAATGCTTGATAATATTCATGCTGCTCCCATGTCTAAAGGTTGTGGTTCTCTAAAGAATGACATTAATAAAAGAGATTACTGTTATTTCCAGATGTACAAGATGCACAGGACCAGGACTGTCAGAGAGGACCATCTGACATTTTCTTTGATGTAACTGTCATCAGATGGAATAAATAATAGACTCAGAAACAGAAGACCTAAGTTTAAAACATAGCCCTACATTTTGGTAGTTATATGAACTTGCCTACATTATTTACTTTCTATACTTTTAAAACGGGGTGTGAGGATTTTTAAAAAGGATGACATCTGTGGAAACATTTAAAATTATTGTAGAATACAACAATTTACCTGGAGAAAAAAAAGAAGCTTCAATCTTTGTGCTCTATGCCTTTGGAAATCTCATGCACACGATTTAGATGGCCTGGAACAGCTGGAGTTAATTAAGGTATAGGAATGAACAAAAGTGGTTTCCTCAGCTCAGGGGCAAGCCTGTGGAGCACTCCTTATCTTTCAATTGAGTATAAGTTTGCAAGGAAGGCTCCTCTTGAGAATTCTCAGTGAGAGTCAAGCCATAAGTCAGGAGGGAGAGAGTTTAGCCAAATGGTTCAATCTGGTTAATGGAACCATTTGCTATTTTACCACCTAGTTACCTCATGTTGAGAGGGGATGAGACCCAACTGAAATGGAAGTTGAAGAAAGTGCAGACTGGGAAAGCAATGCTTGGCCACAGGCCTTTTGGCCTCTGGCCTGATTCGGTGTGCCCCAAGAAATGCCAAAGGCAGATCTTGTTCCTGTTTTACCATTCTGACCAAATTGTGCCCTGACCAGGAGAACCATCCAGTCACTAAAGGAAGAAAAGGAACCCTCTTGACAATCCATTGCTAAGCTGGCAGCCCTACTTATGACTGCCACTAAGAATGTGCATATGAGTACTCTGCCCTAGTCATCCAACTCTTAGAAATGGTACAGAACAGTTTCTCCCCATTTTTAGTCTGCAGATCATTAAGTCTACAAAATGTCCCTAGAAAAGTCTTTCTGACACCTGGTAGTTAAGAATGGGGGTTCTGGAGCCAGGCTTTGTACTGTATGCTCCTCTACTTCCTAGTTGTGTGAGATGGGCAAGTTAATCTCTGTGGCTCAGTTTCTGTATCTGTGAAATGGGAATAATAATATACCTTCCTCATGATGTTTTCATGAAATGAAATGAGCTAGTGAGTGCAAATCACCTAGAACCTTATCTGGAATTCCTTACCTGGAATATAGAAAGCACTTAGTTAATTTCATTTTCATGAAAAGAGGCTATGGAAATGGCTTGTTGCCATCTCAACTCAGAATTCTGAAGCAGTGAGTGGAACACAATTGGCAGCAGTAACGGTGGCAGCAGGCTGCAACCTGCCTCACTCCAGGTGACTCGTCGGCACCTCCAATCCCCTCTGCCTTGGTTTCTGGCACCAAATCTTGGGCATCATTTCTGTTACCCTTACTGTGGTCTACAGTGCTCAGAGGGAGCCCAGTTCTGGCCACTCTGCTCATCATGAATCTTGCCAGCTCTTTCCAAAGGCTGAACTCTTCCTTGAGTCTTTCTCATTAGTACAAGACCCTAGGCTGTAATTCCAGTGCAGATAACCATCTGGGCTCAAATTCTGACATACCTCAAAACTGAACCTTATCTCTTGAGATTACACTGTCCCAGCAGAGAAAGGGCACTCCTGCCCTTGGATGTACACTGCTGATGCCTCTGCTTTCCCCTAGCTCAGTCCTTTGGACTTGTCTAGAAAGTCAAATGGCCATGCTAATTTGCATTTTATTTGTGCATCCAGCCGTCCAGTATTTATTAAACTTTTCCTACATCCAAGTACTGTTCTACATTCTATTGATGTGATATTAAACAAAAACATTCTCTTGTTCTCACTCAACACACATTTTAGTAGAGGACAAATGACAAACAACTAAATTAACAAGATTGTTTTTAATGGTGAAAAGTGCTATGAAGAAAATAAAACAAGGTGAGGTTATAAAATGACGACAATGGGAAGAGGGGATCTCAGTGAGGGGTGGAGTCAGGCTAGGCTTTCTGAGGGAGAAGACACCCTCAACCAACACCTGGAAGACAGGAAGGATGCAGCCTTGTGAAGATCTGGTAGCACAAAGCTGATGGCCAGAAGCAGCCTGCTGTGATAGAAGTGGGAAATAATGCCAGTGTGCCTGGAGCAGAGGGACTGAAGTGGAGAGAAAGAGGAGATGAAGCCAGAGAGGGAGGAGGGCCAGGTGTTGCCAGGCCTTGTAGGCCAGGATAAGATGTTTGATTTTATTCTCATTACAATAGAAAGTCAAGGAAGAATTTTAAGCAGGGAGTGACACATTAAGTCCATCCTTCTTGGGACTGCAATGACTTGCATGTGCTTAGCAAAGTATCAGTGATTCCCAGCTGAATCACAAGTTTTGCTGGCTCATAATCACACTATGGAATATTAAGGTTCTGTAACAGAGTAGAAATTAAAATGACAACAAAACCAGCAAAAGATATCCCTATTGGTCTCAGATAAATGTTACAAGTGTAATTTAAAAAGTTGGAATTTCATATATGTTAATACCTCTAATTAATAAGATAAGCCTTTCCTTTTGGGATTTGGCAGTGATAATAGCTCAAGCAGAAATGCCATTTGAATTTCAGGAAACCTAAACTAACATTTTACAAAGAAAGAAGCATTGCTCACAGTGGCTGACTTGGCCTGGAAAGTAAGAGAAATGGAACTGTAAAATGGTATCCTTAACAAGTGTCGTTCTACTCCTTTACAGCTTTTGCCAACACAGCACTTTAAATAAATGTGCATTAAAGTGATTTTTCCAACTGAAAAAGCAAATTCTGAATATGGGCAAAATTAGCTGCCCCAATCCTTGCCACTGTAATAAATGATGGTGTAGGTGTTACAAGGATGAAAAAGCAGCGCATCTCTTTCTAATCCTGACAGGCATCCTCCCTTTTTTCACTGAATCTTTACCTTGTAATGAAGACTTGTATAGGGAAGTCTATTCCTGGTATGTTCCTGATAAAAATGCATCTTTCCAGGAGTAGCAGCAGGGACTGAATCTCTTTAGCAGACTCTGTTCATGAACTTGTGCCAAATTTCTCCATACCTTTGAAGTTGGGAAAAAGTATGTGCTCCTGGCAATAATACTCAGAAAACAGCCTGAAACAAGGTGAAGTACAACCACGAACAGAGACATTCAGTATTATCCTGATGGCTCTCAGAGCCCCTGTGATTAAACGGTGCTATGAGGGAATACTAATGCTGCCAAGAGCAGACTGGGCTTTCCGCTTGTGCATTTATGTGAGTCCCAGCTGAGGTCCTTGAAGGGAGCAAGACTCCTACCTCATGGAGAATAAATTGAGATTGCTCCTCCTCTCAAATTCCCTGTACTAGGTTTGGATCACTCTTTCACCTTTAATCTGTTGAAGATGTGAGTTGAGGCTACTGTGTAATAAAATTATTCCCAATTTATATCACACATGGATGATTGCTCTAACTTCCCCAATATGCTGTGAAATCTTCACAGTCAGGCTCATCTTTCTTGCTCCCCAGTCACCTGTTATATAAAAATTCCAACACTACATAAAGGAGTGAAATAAAACATAATAGTCTTCCAGCCTCCCTTTCTAAAGAACCACTATTAAGTTTCCTGTATCTTCCTCCATAAATGTTTGTGGGCATATACAAACTTTTGTGTTATTCAATGTTCAATTCAATAAGCAAAACTTGGAAGAAATATGGGTTGATATACAGAATTTTAAATAATTTCTAGTGCAGGGCACTATACAAATAAATAAAATAATTATAGGTTTCTACAAAATAAGGGGTGTGTGTGAACATTCCAAAGTACTTATAACCTTTTCCAACTACCCCTCAAACCTTCTTCTGCCTCCCAGGACCTCAGATCATCCTGCATTTGGGCAGCAGGTGGGGCATGTGGGCACAAGCCTGAGGAGTCCTGCTTCCATCTCCAACACAGTGGGTATTCCCCGGCCAACTCACTTTGTCTCACTGGATCTCAGTCTCCCCTCTTGCAAAATGATAAGGTGTCTTCTAAGGTCTCTTTGAGATCCTAGGATTGAATTGATAATTGAGTAATGATAAATACAAATGCATATATCAAGGCCAAAATCTCAAATTTGTATTAGGAAGAAAATCACAATCAAATAAACAGATTACCAGGAGAACTGGGGTGCAAATTAGATTGGAACAGTTGTTAAGAAAAATATTTTAATTATGGCATAATTGACATGTAACATTATATTACTTGCAGGTATACAACACAATGATTTAATATCTGTATACACGGCAAAATGATCACTACAATAAGTCTAATTAACATCTGTCACCTTACACAGTTATAAAAAACTTCTTATGATAACTTCGAAGATCTACTCTCTGAGCAACTTTCAAATATGCAATGCAGTATTATTAACTATAGTTACTGTGCTGCATAATAAATCCCAATGACTTATTTATTTATAATTAGATCTTTGTACCTTTTGACACCCTTCTCCCATTTTTCCAACTCCCTACCCCCCCCCCCACCTCCACCTCTGGCACCCACCAATCTGTTCTCTATATTTAGGAGCTTGTAGATTTCACATACTTAAATGAGATAACATAATATTTGTTTTTTTCTGACTTACTTCACTGAGATAATGCCTTCAAGATCCATCCATATTACAACTGGCAAGATTTCATTTTTTTAATGGTCAAATAATATTCTACTGTATACATACCATCATGTTTTCCTCCATCAATGACCATTTAGGTTATTTCGATATCTTGGCTATCGTAAATAATGCTGCAACAAATATAGGGGTGCACATCTCTTTTCAAGTTAGTGTTTTCATTTTCTTCAGATAAATCACCAGTAGTGGAATTTCTGGATCATATGGCAGTTTTACTTTTTATTTTGAGGAACCTTCATACTATTGTCAATAGGGGATGTACCCATTTACATTCCCACCAACAGTGCACAGGGCTTCCATTTCTCTATGACCTCACCCACATTTACTATTTCCTGTCTTTTTGATGATAGCATTCTAACTGGTGTGAGGTGATAGCTCATTGTGATTTTCATTAGCAGTTTTCTGATTATTAGTAATGTTCAGCAACTTTTCACATACCAGCTGTATGTCTTCTTTGGAAAAATGTCTGTTCAGATCTTCTGCATATTTTTTATTCAGATTGTTTTTTTGCTACTGAGTACTTTATATATTTTGGATATATCTTATCAGATACATGATTTGCAAACATTTCTCCCATTCAGTAGGTTACCTTTTTATTTTGTTGATGGTCTCCTTTACTGTGCATGACTTTTTAGTTTGATGTGGTCCTATTTACTTTTGCTTTTGTTGCTTTTGCTTTTGGTATTGGGTTAAAAATAATCATTGCTAAGATCTATATCAAGGATCTTACCACCTATGTTTTCTTCTAAGAATTTTATGGTTTCAGGTCTATGTCCAATTCATAAATCCATTTTGCATTAACTTTTGTGTATGATGTAAGATAGGGGTCCAGTTTCATTCTTTTGCCTATGGCTTTCCAGTTTTCCAAATGCCTTTTATTGAAGGTACTGTTCTTTCCCTATTGTATATTCTTGGCTCTTTTGTTTAAACTAATCAACCATGTATGCATGGATTTATTTCTGGGTTCCCTACACTGTTCCATTGATCTATGTGTCTACTGTTATATCAATACCATACTATTTTGGTTACTATAGCTTTATAACATAGTTTGAAACCAGGGAGCATGATATATCCTGCTTTGTTATTCTTTATCAAGATTGCTACAGCTATTTGGAGACTTTTGTGGTTCCACCTGAATTTTAGGATAGTTTGTTCTACTTCTGTGAAAAATGCCACTTGAATTTTGATAGAGACTGTACTGAATCTATAGGTTCCTTTGGGTAATATGGACATTTTAACAATATTAATTCTTCCAATCCATGATATGGAATACCTTTCCACTTATTTATATCTTCAGTTTATTTCATTAATGTCTTGTACTTTTCTGTGTATAGCTCTTTCACCTCCTTGGTTAATTTTATTCCTAGATATTTTATTCTTTATGATGCATTGTAAGTGGGATTGCTACCTTAATTTCTCTTTCTGCTACCTGGCTATAAGTATACAGAAATGCAACAGGTATATTTATTTTTGGGTCTTACAAGTTTACTGAATTATTATTTCTAAAAGTTTTTTGATGAAATCTTTAGGGTTTTCTATATATAATATCATGTCATCTGCAAATAGTGACAGTTTTACTTCCTTTACAATCTGGATGACTCTTTTTTTTTTCCTAATTACTCTAGCTATGACTTCAAATACATGTTGAATAAAAGTAGTGAGAGTGGGCATCCTTGTCTTGTTCCTGATCTTAAAGGAAAAGCTTTTCATCATTGACTATAATGTTAGCTGTAGGCTTGTCATACATGGCCTTTATTATGTTGAGATATGCTCCCTCTATACCCACTTAGTTGAGAATTTTTTATCATGAATGGACTTTGAATTTTGTCAAATGCTTTTTCTGTGTCTACTGAAATGATGATGATTTTTATCCTAAATTTTGTTAATGTAGTGTTTCACCTTGATTGATTCACAGATGTTAAACTATCTTTGCACCCCTGAAATAAATTCCACTTGATCATGGTGCATGATCCTTTATTGTTGAATTCAGTTGGCTAATATTTTGTTGAGGATTTTTGTATCTATATTTATCAAGGATATTGGCCTCTATTTTTCTTTTCTAGTGGCATCCTTGTCTGGTTTTGGTGTCAGGGCAATGCTCACCTTGTAAGATATGTCTGGGAGTGTTCCCTTGGAGCAGTTTCTCTAACAAATAATTTTGTAAGCTGTAATTCATAGGAAAGTCCACATGTCTTATTTTACCTGAGATTTACCAAGCAATATACATTGATCCTGAAGTTATCTTAGGATACACAAGCAACCCTTCAGAAGTAGAAACAACCCATGTTTACTCATTTCTAAGCAAGGCATATGACCCTCTTAGCAGCCTTAGAGGGCTTTTTAGTATTTTTCCATTGTCAAGAGTCACAGGTATGTTCAATTACATTCAGTAGCTAGAGAGTCACTTGTTAAACAACTGGTTAACATCTTGGTTCTTATTTGCCATGTCAATGACAATCAAGTGCCAGGGAGAAGGTTTTCCTGATCAGACCACATTTGCTGCTCTGTTCTGACCATGTCTTTCACTAGAAGCACAAATAAGTATACAGAGGAGTGGAAAAGTGATGAGTGAGGAACTAGAGATGGAAATGTGTGGAGAATGGATAGGATACCATCACTGTTAAAACATCTATTTGATCATTTGTAAGCTAACAGTAGCAATGCCACTAATAATGGTTGAAAATCCTTATTCTAGGGCAAAGCTGGGCAAAGAAAAGTGGCATTCACAAGTGTCTTCACCAGATGTTCTTGCAATTTCTCTCAGAGGCAGGGAAGATGGAGGTTAAGAGAAAAAACCTTGGATTTAGAGATATATGAGTTCTGCCTCTATTAAACACGTGCCTAATTATGAGCCTCTGTTTGCTCATTTATTGAAAAAGAGAGAAGGCAATACATGAACTGTGCTTATTATTATCATTATCTGAGGCTGTGAGTTTGGTGGGCTATCTTCTGGGAAACACAGAATCCTTAAAAAACAATTGCAAATAAATGGAGAAATTATACCTTGGTAAAGGAGCTCATTCTCACCCGAAAGGAATTCATAAAGTGAAGGGATGGAGGCAGAGTGGCATTATTCCCTGATAACGTCAACAGCAGCTCCAAGCAGGTTGGGAAAGGCAGGGTCAGAGAGTGGGTGCTGATATCACTTTCCCATGAGCTGGAAAGCCTGGAAAACAATATGTATAATTTCATAATATATCTGGTCATAATTATTTCAAAAATATGTAGAAGAAGAAAAAATTTTAGGTATGGGAGGAAAAGGCAATGTAAAGAAACAGAAATAAAAAGTTACATTAAAAATTCACAGAATAAATGTCTAAGACATTTTTATAGTATTTTTGGTATAGAACTGATGGATCTGGCAATTTTTTTCAAGTCAACATTTCATACTCAAAGTTTAAGAGTCATACGAAATGCAGTCCTATTTGTGAGAGACCTATTTGGGGCTGTGGGGCGGATAATTGGCCGGAGCCATGCCATTCAAGCTGTGTAGCTAAGCTCCGGCTGGAGGAAGACTCCCACACAGCAGGGGCCCTCGCAGCTGGCTCCCTCTATTACCCACCTTGATTTTGTTATTCTCCATTATACTATTGGCTTTGCTTTTACCTGCATTTTTGCTAAGGATTAACTAGCCTTTGCTGAGCAGTGTGGAAAGGATTAGAACATAAGTTTCCCAGGAGCTTTTCAGGACAGTGCTCCTGAAGAATGGAACATGCAGGGGCCAAATGGCGATCTTGGCATAAAGTACTGAAACCTACTGTTAGTCAAACATTGACCCCCTATCTCCACTGAGAATACCCCCCTTTTATTATTACAATGCTTGTGAAACTAGTGATGGAGAGTTTTATAGAAATAGAGTTATGAGAGACTATTGAATAGAATAACCCTGTCTGACACTTAATCAATCTTCTCATGTTTTCTTCCCTCTGCTACTTCTATAGCTTTTCTTCTTCCTTCTTAATTACAGCCCTTTACTAGAATTTGTGCCTTATATGTGAAATTACCAAATACCATAATTTTTCAAGAAGTAAAGATACTGCAAGACAAGTGCTGAGCCTGGAAGCTACAGGGTATAAATCTGCAATGAAGTAAAAAGCTAACATCTTCAAAGAATATTGCTTCTCTCTCACTTACCAGCTTTACATCTCCCTGTATGGCCCCAGAAGATGGCTGCTTAGCCAGAAATGGGTAAGATTCCTCACGGGAGGAACAACCTAAGACAGGCACAGTCGCAGGGGGCCATCCGGTGAGAAAATGGGGGCCAACAGAGGTGAGGCTTAGAACCTCACCTCCCCAGTTTTGAGAGAAATCCTGTACACCCGTGGATGTTTTGTTGTCCTTGTCTGGCTTAGATTAATACCTAAATCTATAGGCACAAACCTGATCATCTACACTTGCCTTCTTACAGCACTAAATCATGCTTTCTATCTTTATCTTGCATCTACCTATGATGGAATAAATATTATGAGAAAATAAAATGTACCCATTGCATTAGAAATATAAATGATGATACCTGCCTCACTAACTGTAGTAGTGAGTGACCTGTATTTCACCCTGAGCTGATAGACTCCATAGTCACTGCTACATACTGCATGCTCCTGCAGTCACATGCATTACTTAGAAACCGCTTTGCACAGAAACAAGAAACACAAGACAGTACATGTTGCTAGGAAAAGTTTCGGTCAAGGAACAGAGAATGATCACCTAACACTTGACCAACCATGACTAGATTAGAAAGAAGAAGAAATAAAAAAGCTTGCCTATATTTATTAATTAACTGCCTATACTAATTAATCAACAGAACAATAAAAATAATCATATCCTTGTGCAAAATGGTATAAATAAAGCTGTCATCGGCACTTTGTTGAGACCACCTCCATCTGACTCTGTGTCCTGTCTCTCCATCTCATCCTTTTGGGCTTCACACCCCCCCACTAGAGCTGGTCTTTGGCAGATAATAGCTAACACACCTAATGCTTTCTATGTTTTATACTTGGTTCTATATGTCATATCTTGTTCAATCCTCAAATACCTATGAAATGGAGCTAGTGTTAACCCTATTCTACAGATTTGGAAATTGTTTCTGCACAGGAGTTAATATTTTCATTTAGAAAGAAAGAAAAAGAGAGCAGGATGGAAATATTGAGAAACACTGTGGCATACTTAAAATTCAATTTATTTTAAAACAATCATCAAATTTAGTATGTGGAATTTAAGGCATGTGTTGATTAAGCCAGAGGTGATATATGAGAGTATTTACCCATAGTTCAAATATCAATACAAATTTCTGTTAACAATATAAGCATTTTAAGAAACATGATTATAATAGTCCAGAGTTTAGATTATTTATCGTATTTCCTACAAAGACATCCCAGACTATTATACCTAAATTAGTAAACTTGCACTATAAAACTAACAAGGAAGATACTGCAAAGGGAACATGAACTTAATATCAATTGAAAGCTATTTTTGTTTTTATATTTTAAGTAGTGGGAGAGGAAAAGCTTCCCTAGGAGGCCAGAGCTGGTAGCCAGGTGACCGTAGCCAAAGACCAAAATGCAAGCAGAGGACATACCATCCTTCTTTTTAAGGCTTTGCCTTGACAAAATTCCCCAGAGAAACAACTATGGCCTATCTATTTTTTAAAAAAGCAATGAGATGAGGTAAAAAAAAGTCACTTCCCATCACTTATAAGAAAAATGGTGAAATTAAGACTGAATCAAACACCAATCAGTATCAAGAAAAAAAACTTGAGAAAATAGAAAGTTGATACAGTCTTCTAGGAAACATAGAGGTTGTTTAATATAATTGAGGAAAATCACAAATAGAGATGATACAACAACTCTACCAAAATTAAAATATTTTAAATGAGTCCAACATTCTGTTTAGAGAAGAAAAGTCACGCAGTATAAGAAAGCTCAAGATGAAAACATTTAACTTAAATTTCATATTCCTCATATTTTAGTAGCTAGTTTGGACTCTTCAGTCTTCAAAGGACCTAAGAAAGCTAACAGCCTATTTAGTGTATTGAAATATAATATTGTTTATACCTGTAGATTTTTAAAATTCACTTTCAAACTTATAACAGTGATAAGCCTACCAATTTAAGCCCTCAAAATACTAAAATGAACATATGGCCACAACTTAGTGCTAGAATAATTATAAACATAAAACTATTTAGTACATAATTTGGACAAGGAAATGAAATTTTAAAAATTCTTATGAACTGTCAAGAACATACAATTCTGTAACAACTAAGTGTACTTGTATACCTGTTATGATAAACCATATTAACTCAAGAAATCCTGCCATTTGCAGCAAGATGCATGGATCTAGAGGTTATTATGCTCAGGTGGAGAAAGGCAAATACCATATTGCCGGAGACCAAAAGGCCCCCACCCACAAAATGGCGAACTTCCCGCTTCTCTTCTGGTCCTCTGCTCCTTCTGGCACCAACCAAGGCCCAATAACCCCTCTACACCTTCCCACTGGCGCCATCTAAAAGCCAATTGTTTTTTGACCCGCCCCTTCCTTGCTAACCTGTATAAATTGAGCCTGCAAACAATAAACTGTGCCAGCTTGATCAGACATTCTGTCTTGCTGGTCATTCTTTGTGTCCCTTGCTTGTTTCATTTCTGCAGGCGTCTCCAGCTACACTCCACGTTCATCCCGCAGGTCGGGACAACTGGTGCCCAACGTGGGACCCCAGGACTCCTGCTGAAATGTCTGCTCATAAGCTCTGGCCAGGCATTCTTTTGAGTCATCACACGGGTATTCACCTGATGTCAACTCTGCATTGAGGATCACTGCGGCTCACCGGTCCATAATACAGATCCCGGAGAGGTGAGTAGATGCATCACCCAAGCAAGCATCTTAAATACCTCTTGTGAGTTCTCACTGATCCCCTCCCTCTAGTTTGCTGCCGCGATGTAATCCTTGTTTTGTCCTCTGGTTGTTCTTCTCTGAAAACCTTGTGCTTACTTCGGGCTAACGGTCGTTCACCTCTAGGGCCTGCACAAGGGACTCTGACTACAGAGTCCCTGCCCTAGAGGGTCCAAGCCATCCTATGTAAGCAAGGGCTCGCCTGAGCTGATGAGAGTACCTCCAGTAGTTCAGTACATTGGCATAGTCGCAGCTGCATTAGTATAATTCCAATTTACGTAGAGCAGAAATCCCAGCCATCCTAATGGGCAACTCACTGAACTCCCACAAGGTATTTCTTAGCGGACTCAAGGAGTCCCTCAGGACACGAGGTGTAAGGGTTAAAAGAAAAGATTTTAGACAATTTTTTTCCTTTATTCATGAGACTTGCCCCTGGTTTCCCCTCGAAGGCACTGTTGATCATAAACGTTGGAAGAGAGTTGGTGATGCCCTCCAAGACTTTTATCAGACCTTTGGCCCTGAAAAAGTTCCTGTTTCAGCATTTTCTTACTGGAACCTTATTCACGACATCCTTGAGGTTCATTCTCAAGATCCTGACATTAAAGATATAATTAAAACCGGAGAAATAGCCATTAAGGAAAACTCCCGACCACCCTCTGCCTGTCCTTCAGTAGCTGTAGATATCCCTGAAGACCCCACCGCTCCTATTAAAGAATCTCCTAAACTTCAACCTAATATAAAATCTCCAGACACCCACGATAAACCTGATCCTCCTAAAATCCAAAATATCTATCCTATGCTCATGGCTTTAAGACACCAAACAGATCATTTAAACCTAAGAAATGAAGAGCCTTTAGAAGAACAAGCCGTCCATTACCATGAAGGTGAAGACCCCTGGTGCCTTATGGCGCCAGCCCTTCATAGTGCCACTAATAGAAGCTTCAGACCCCCTCCATATAAACCTATTTCCCGTCAATGTGTTCCTACATTTCAAATCCCTGATCTAGAGTCATCTCACAACTTCCCCCTTTCATCTGACCCCATCCGACAAGCAAAAATTTCTCTAACCAAAGAAGTCTCTTCACTTAAAGAAATTTTGCAACAAAAACGTGAACATGTTCAGCTCATTAAAGAGATTAAAGCCCTTGACGCCGAACTAACATCATTAAACCCCATGCAGACTCCCTCACTCCCCAAAAAACCCATAAAGAAAGTGAAACCTAAAAGCCCAATCCTAGCCTTCCCAGTCACTCGCGGTCGCCCACTCACCTGCGGTCGCCGCCCAGAAACCCCCCAGAAGTCAGA